CTTCTGTCCCGAGTGGCTGACGGGCAGCCCCAGCCTAGACACCAGTAACTTCATGTTCCTGTGGGTGTACCTGGTCTTCTTCAACGGCCTCTGGGTGGTCATACCGCTCCTCCTCATGTACCAGTCCTGGCTCGCCATCAAGGCGGCCATGTTGCACCAGCAGCGAACAGCCATCGCGTCGGCAGAGTTAGGCTCGGGCAGAAGTCGGGACCGAAACAACGGAAGGAAAAGGAAGGATCAGTGAGGGGTGGCGCAGTGCAGACGGTGTGGTCAAAGAAGCGTGGAGGAAGAGATGGGAATTGGAACTGTGGGTGAAAAAAGGGAAGGAAGGAAAGTCAATGAATGTTTCTGTGAGCTTTTGTTTTAGTACCGGTAAATGTTTTACAGCACTTGCAACACAGGATTAGATTATGCCGAAGATAAGAGGTGATTGCAGGAAAGTAACAAACACAAAAAAGAAGGAGGGGAGATAAAGACAATAGATTTTTGATAGGAAAGAAGAAGCAAACTGCACCAGAGCACCCGCCAACCACCCACTCTGTGAGCTATAAAAGTCAAAAGAATTAATGAGTAAAAATATATACAGTAGAGTCAGCTTAAACCAAAATATGTGGGACAGCTGAATTTTCTTTGGCTTAGCTGGGTTTTCGGTTTAGACAGGTTACTCGAATAGAAGAAAAAAAAATCAGGTGATTTTTTAAATTTTTTTTCGGCTTACTGCTGTTTTTGAATTCACCATGTTTGGTTTAAGTATTAAGCGGAATCTACCATTTATATGTTGTTGTTTTATTTCAAGTTGATCAGCAAAGTTATTTCCTATAGGCCTATATTTCAAAACATTTGGTTAGAATTATACATTTCAAATTGAAGCTGTAAAAAGATGAGGTATCATTCAGTTTGTGGGAAAAAAAAGAGAAAATGGAAGCTCCGAATAATCAGATTTTATGACTCAATAAATGGAGTAAAATTTTTTAAAGATTTTTGGGGGTTTTGTATGAGCATTGAGTGTCTGGATTATAAGAATAAGATTAAAGCTATAAAAATCACAAATATATATGTTTGTTTGTTTGTTAGCATGTGTTTGTTTGTGAGTGCATTTACAGTACGGGCACTGGCTTCTGTAGTGTAGTGATTAGGCTCCTTGCCTTTGCATACAGAAGACAAAAGTTCGATTCTCCAAGTGAGGACATTTTTGGGGGGTTTTGTTGAGCATCTGCGTCTGTCTACTAGGATATGGTATCCCTGTGAGCCTGGAATGGCCCTGACAGGCGAGCTTGAAGTACCAAAGTACCGGTAACCCACCTCCCAGATGATGTAAATGAATACGGAAAATTTTTACAAAATTTTAGAAAGAAATTCTACAGAAGGACAAGAGAAAACGAAAGTGGAAAGCTCTTTCAATTGAAGATCTTACTTGTATTTCTGGGCGCTAGAGAAGAACCAATCTTGAGTTTCTCAACTACTTTAATCGACTTTGAGCAATGCCACTTTTTGACACTTATGACAAAAGAATGTGAACCGGTTTTTGTTTCTTTGTTGCATTCTAAAGGCTATGCCTTTAGTCACTCATACTTTTCATGATTCTTAGGGATTGGGGGGGGGGGGACAGTTGAAGTTGACGATAGCCTTAGCATTCTGTCTCGTTACTTCACTGTGTTGACTATAGCTTTAAGGGACAAAACATACTTTTTGAAGGGTCTTGATTTATAATGGCACTTATTAAGTTATTATATGAGCCTTTCTTTTCTACAAAGTTATAGCTTTTCTGATTTGGCTGTGTAAATCGTTATCTGTACTGCTATTTTACAGCACTTTTGCTCAATTTTTGAGTGAAGGACATGGGTACCTTTAATTGTTCTTCTTTTAAAATGAGATGAAAAAGATTTGATGTTTGAACATTGTTTTTGTTTTTTGAATTGAGAGAAATTTATGCAATCTTGTACTTGCAGTAGGGTTTATTTTCACTAATTGGATTGAAAATTGATTTTGATATTTTATTGATGTGCTTGTTGATATCGCCTCTGTTCCAAACAGTATTTTTTTTCTTTAATGTTTTGATGTGCCATAAATGCCATAAATACCCAAAAGTGTCGTAGATTTGTAAAAATACTGATGAAGACTTTTTGTGCAGAAACAACTTTTGCCAAATTAGTGTTTGAAAATACATACTTATGTAATGCAATAGATGATATGTATCATGTATCGATTTTAAAATCTTCTTACCATGTTTTTGTAACTGTTTAGTGATTGATGTGGCCTCTGACATTTACATTACACATATCCTAATTCATACTTCATCTTATGTGTTTTTAGAGCCAAAGTCAGCTTGTCATGTATCAAGTGATTTGTGTAGGACTCAAAGACTCCAGCTTACTCCATTTTGAAAAGTCACATATCACGAAGTGTTACAGTGGAACTCGGATTTAACGAGATGAGATAGATTCCCCAGTTTTTTTTTCTTCTTTAAAATCAATAAAAATAACCCGGATTCAACGAGCACTTAAATCAGCGAGCTCGGATTCAACGAGGTCGCTGTCAGGGTGAACTGCCCCTGCAGACGTAGCTTCGCCCAGAACGAACTTATCTATTCCCGGAAACTATCAATTGCAACTGCATTGTGAACCAGTATTCACTTAGCCAATTGCATGCGACCAATCAGCGGCCTTTTTCTTCATACCAACACATGCGTTGTTTGCTCGCGCACGTGTCTACTCGGAGTCGGATGGGCGGCCTGCACACGTGTAGTTGTGTGTGCGTGTCGAGGGGGGGGGGTGACACTAGCGGTCTGGGCGTTGAACGTTTCAGATACAAACGTGTCAAGGTCTTTTTTTCCCCTCGGCAACTGATCATTATTACAATGATAAACTAGTCTTGACGTAGATCTACGTAATGAATTGCGCGCTTGTCTATGCAATCAAAAGTTGCCGTTATGCTAGGATCTACACAGCAACACAACTTTGTGGTAAACAATCGAGATGGCACAGGAATGCATTAGAACGAATCGGTCTTTTTTTTTTTTTACACAGCTCGTAATATGCAGGCATTTCAGGCACTATTTGTGACTTCTCTTTTTACATTACTTGCTCAGTGCCTGTAATTATCTACACAAAACCTCATGTTTGCTATAACGAACACTCGGATTCAACTAGATTTTAGGTCAGGCCCGACGACTTCGTTGAATCCAAGTTCCACTGTACACTGAGCGGCCTATATATATAATATGAGGCATCGTGGTAAAATCAGGCCCCTGGCAAAATAATGAAATCGGAGAAACAGGTATTTTCCACCAGTTAGGCAAAAAAAATTGGGGGCTCAACCCTTTTTATGTCCATACAAAAACATATTAACATGTGAATTTTACTGAAAAAACATTGAATTACAGGCACAAAATATGTCATTTCTCAGTTTTCAATGACTCTTTAGCTATTGGAGTGACCAATCTTTAGCTGCCTTTTTCACCACTGAAACTAAACTAGACGACCTCACCTCTTTCAATTGCAAATGTCTTGCCTTTTATTCAAGGTAGATGGATATTTTTAAAAATTGAAAACAAATCAATTTTATCAAATGAATAAACTTTCACTTTCAGATACTGGTAATACCAGTAACTCCAACTGCCCAAAAATTGACAAGTGCCTGACTTCACCATATTGTGACTCATATATTATTATGATTATACCATTCACCGGAACAATGGAAGAATACCCTTTAGCTCCCCTTCCCCATAGAGACACTCCATTAGCTCAGTTTGTATCGCACTAGACTAGGAGGGGGAGGCCCTGGTTCAATTCCCCAACAGGGCCTTCTTGAACTCTATTTGTTTCATGGAGTTTCTCAAGGCCCTTTCTTTTAATTAATATGTTTTTTAAAATAACAGTAGGCCTAATTTACTCTTTAAAAAAACTATTTTTCTAATTCATTTCATCCAAAAAGACCAAATACTGCTAGTCTTTATAAAATCAAGAATTCTGTAAGGATTATGGATGTAGCGTGTAGAACAATGTCTTTAGATTAATCATTGCTTTATATTACAAAGGCAGCTGAGATTTTGTTTTGGGACATGCTGGTGTCTGTCCGGGTAGTCCACAAGTCCAGGTACAACTGTGAGGTGTTGAGAAGCAGCAAAGTCTGGTCATTGCTTTGGATGAGGATGCATATATACTACAATACATGTACTATGTACGTCATAATAATGCAGTCTACCGACGTATATTGTTATGAATAAATAATACATTACATGTACACATGTATATTTGTTTTTTGACAATTCAGTTTTAGCGCTGTGTTATGTGAGTTTTTGCATGGATTCTTCAAATTCTTGTAAGCAGAGTCTCATGTGCCTGTATTTGTCCATATTTTTGTACTGTACGTGCCGGCTTTAAGCACGCCGGCATAAAGCACGCTTCGGACTCAAGCACGCTAAACGGCTCTTACCGAATATTTGCTATATATAACTTACACGCCTTTAAGCACGGTAACTTCGGCTTCAGGCACGCTTCATTTACAAGACAGTGAATACTTTCATGATGACCCATCGAAGTTTGAACACAGTCTACACCGCAGCAGTGAGTGTGTTAAGAGAAACACAGAGAACGCAAGTGATGGAGATACACACTCACACGGGCGGAGAGAAAGAGAGATGTTCACAGCCACACGCGTGGACATAGGATCTAGCCTAGGGCAAAGCTACACACAGCCACAAAAAATACAAAGAGAGTCGTGGAGACGAGAAAGGGAGGCGTGCTGCGATTTTACCTTTGACCCTCGCTATCCGTTAATCCTGATTGTGTATCTCGCGCAAGGTGGGAGGAAGGGCGGTGGCATGAATGTGGCACAGCGACCAGTATTAACGCTCAGGCACAGTGTGTAGGCCTAGTGTGCTGTATCGTGACTGGCCGTCTCAATTAAGTTTTATTTCCCATTCGACCTCAAAACAAAAACAAACCAGCAAACAAAATCAACAATGGCAGGTAAAAAATGACAGTGCTCACTTTTGTGGGACCGCTATAGTCCTACTTACAAACAAAGGGAAATAGAACTCGAAATTTACTACATGAAAATCTCTGGATTATGTGTACTTCGCACTCAAGCACGCTTCAGCCTGAAGCTTTCTCCCTGTGACCGTGCTTAAAGCTGGCATGGACTGTACTGAGTCAGGAGGGTGAGCCTGTTTTGTTTTTTGGCAGAATTTGCTTATATATTTTATGGAACCTTTGCTTGAATTATATTTGGTCCCAAAGAACTTCAATATCTACTGTATCATTTGTGTACCGACATCTTTTCCTTAATAAAGACTTTATTTTGCTGAAAGAGGGCTTTGTTTAGTGTTGACTCATTATATTATGATTCATAACATCATTGTTGTCACAGGAGTGCATGACTTGGTGTAGCCAAATTATCATTCTGTCATGAATGCCATGACCAAACTCCAAACTGTACCCAAAATAGATGAGGAGTCCACGGGGAAAAACGGGCATGAGAGCCCCCCAATAGTTATTACTGTACATTCGGTCCAAACTGTAGTGGTGTAGTAGTAAACCCACATGTGCCGGTACATCAAGTTGTATTCATCTGAGCAGTCCATGGGGAAAACGGGCATAGTCACGAACTGGAAATTGTGAGGGTGTCAATTTTAAAAGCTTGTTGACTCGTAACTTCATTTATTTGACTGGTGGTTTATTGTTACATGTATGTTTGTTGAATGGGAAATCTATCAACAATAATGAACCAACAGCTGAACAGATAAACGGTTCTGAGTCAACAAACGTTCAAAATTGATACTGTACACTCAAGACTTTCACTTTCACTTGTGACCATGCCCACCTTGTCGCTGTATAGGGTATTCCCGATATCTGGGGAGACAGGTGGGTTGGTGCTACGCAGGTCGCCAAGTCAGGAAGGTACATACAATATATAATACAACAAGGGGGTGTCTTATGTTTTACAAGTGTGATAGATACTATAGGGATATACGGTATTCCTTATGGTCGGAAATATTGAATTTTGCTCAGGTGGCAACCCCTCTTCTTCTACAACTTTCAACCACCCAGGGATTTTTAATGAGTGCAACATGCACAGGGGATCTCCGAGCTTCTCGGTCATCCGTCAAGACTAGGTCGCGACCTCAGTGCTTTCTTGTTCTATCTCCATTTTTTTAAACATTGAAAATGTGACTTCTTCTTAAACTCACTCTTTGTTATGTACTGTTTTTACTGTTATTAAAAATGGAGATAGGACAAGAAAACACCGAGGTCGCGAGGTATGGGATCTTATCTTACCTAACGGTACCTTAACTTGCCTTAGGATCAGTGGTGTGGAGCAAGAAGGAGATTGAGTGAGAGTCCTGGATAGAGAAGAATCCATTTACTGCATGGAGGGATAAATGGTGGCAGAAACTCAATGCAGTATTTACCGAGTAAACTCAATATCTGCTGTATGTTGCCAGGAAGAGATTAGAGATACAGTCGACTACGGAAAGTTGAAGTCATCGGGGGATTTTTATAAAAAGATCAACTCATCCGAAGTTCAACTTACCCGTTGGAATCATTCTGTAAAGAAGACATGGTGCTGGGACCCGAGAAAAAGATCAACTAAGGCGAAGATCAACTCAAGCAAGTTCGACTGTATACAAATACTAGATATCACTAATATCAGTCTGTAATATTCAAAAGAAGTAGAAGATGGAAAAATACATTAACATAACAATAGAACAAACAAACAATCAAAAACTTTACAAAACTAGACAATCAGAGCCAACAAGCAAGCTTAGTTTAAAATAAACTTTAATGATCTCGGGGGAAATTTCTGGAGAACACCAGAACAGCAACATACAAAGATTCAGCACCAACACAAAAAATGCACCCAGTACATTCATATACAATGATACAAATATAACGATGCACAAACTCACTCGCACAAGCATCAAGCAGCTCTGTGTGTCTATAGACAGGAACTCTTAACTCTCTCTCTCTCCCTCCCTCCCTCCCTCTCTCTCTAGCAGTAATTCTTGCTTTATTTTATAACAATGTAGAGAAAGCAACTAACTAAAAGCTGACAGGAAAAAAACCCAGGTATGCTACTTTTTCTTCTTCTTTTTCCTCTTTTTATCCACATTGGCCACCATAGTCTTTATGTTAGTCTCATTGTAGGCAAAAGAAATGAAGCTTGAATCATTTTCCATTTTTCTTTTCAAAGACTTCTTTGCATTTTTAGAAGAAGACGACAAAGAAAGGGACAGAAACTCTTCACCCTTCCTGGAACTGGGTCCCCCTACGTCTCCAAGAACTTGGGGGCTGCTAGAGAGAGACTTCCTGTCACTTCCGTAGTTGATGCTCTGGCTGGAAGGAACTGACTGCCCTTTCTTCGATTGCGTCAAATCAGGCTGTCTAGACCGGTCGAGTAAGAACAGAGGAAGACCACTGCACTCCATCTCAGTATCATTCTTCTCAACAGTTTTTTCTTTGTCAGGCACACTTGGGGTACTTTCTCTTTCCTCCGGCAAGGAACTGGTACTGGAAACATTGTCTGACGTAGAAAAAGCCAAAAAGTTCTCATCTTTCCCATTTGATGGTGACGAGATCGCGATATTCTCTGATGAGGCCACACCCGAGGGAACTTGCTTGTCCTTTTCCCCGGAGTTATTTTTAGACACGGAAGTCTGATTACCTTTATTTGATGAACAATCTTTTTGTCGGTGTGTGGGTACATCAGGTTTCTTTGTACTGCTCTGTGAACCACCAGATAAAGAAATAAAATCTGTTCCAAAAGACGCGTCTTTTTTAGCATGTTCCGCTTCCCGCTTCTCTTTCTCTCGCCTCTCAGCGAGTTCTTTCGAATCTTTCTTCAGGACGTACAGGTAAGAATAATCCTCCTCTTCATCAGCCTCTTCGTCATCACTTTCCATTTTTTCGACAGAACCTGTCTTACTTTCTTCCTCATCACTTTCCATTTTTTCGGCAGAACTTGTCTTATTCTCAGACATGGTCTCAGCTCGATGGCTGCCCTCAAGCTGTGAGGTTCCCGTGAGTGGGAGCATCGTGGACCGCATGGCCCCCCCATCTGTCATGGCTGGTAAGGAGACTTGTGTGAGGCCCTCCAGCTTTTCCTTGATTTTGTCCACAACATGTTGAAAGTGCAGCTCTTGTGGGTTTTCAAGACTTGTGAATTTCTGTTGAAAATTGCAAAGATTCATTTCAAAATGGACATGAACATAGCATTTAGTAAGTTTTAGTAAGGTTTTACAGCGCTCGCAACTGCATTAGGTCATATGAGCGCCAGGGGTGGGTGTCAACAGAGAAGTCCAAACGGGGAATCAGGCGTACTCTGCTCACCCCTCTAGCCTCAACAGCACAAAGTCTGCTTCGACTATCAAGGCACCCCGGAAATAGTGGGTCACAAGAGAGAGACAAACATACGAAAGAAGTAGAGGAAAATGACAATAGTAAGGATGAGGAAAGAAAAGGCAGCAGTTCCCCCTATGTTGTTCTGGCACAGTATGAGCATGACATTAATAAATCAGCCCGTTTACAATTCTACTGTGCATAAGAACATGTTAATGTCCCCCTTTGGGAATGGTCTAAAGACACTTCAGTCGGTAGCACTGCTCTGGTGGGGTGCAGCCATAAAAAAGCCGTTCATCTTGACCTTCAAGCTTTAGATGGGTAATACATGGAGAGTGCACTTGTTGGTTTTACTTGTTCCTCATTCCTTTCTCCTTTCCATCTGTTGCTTTGCTGTTTTCTGGCATGACAAGTTAAAATTTGGCCAGCCTGCTTTTGTTACGACTACAATCAACATGTCACAACGGAAACTTTTCAAGGCTATTAAAACCATGTGGCTTCACAAGATTTTGTTTTAGTAGAGGTTTTATGGCGCTCGCACCTGCATAAGGTTATATGAGCGCCAAGGGGTGGATGTCAACAGAGAAGTCCTAACGGAATCAGACTTACTCTACTCACCTACTAGCTTCAACAGCACAAAGTCTGCTTCGACTATCAAGGCACCCCGGATACAGAGCGTCACAAGAGTGTGACAAGCAAACAAAAGAAGTAGAGGAAAATGACAATAGTAAGGATTAGGAAAGATTAAAGTAAAGTATCTGAGCAATATCAATCTTCATGGTGAGCATCATAGCGAAATCCTTTTAGGTAATGTTGAGTTCTGATAACAGTGGGTTTGATTTTGACCATTTCAAGATTTAAAAAAGAAAGACTTTACATATTTATCTTAAAAATGACCTAAATCAACCACCTAACTACATGAAGAACTAGCAGACTGGAGTCATCCGCACTTTCAGAGAGTAACATTCTTTTGTTACGTATGTCACCTGGCCAGCCAGCCTCGAGAGCCTATGACACCAAAGACTACAAAGGAAGGGAAAGGCCACGTAAAAGGTGGATTGAGGGTGTCAAGGAAACCCTGAGAAATTATAATATCCCAGATGAAAGAGCTGCAGAGCTGGCCTACCATAGAAAATTGCCTCTCCCCTCGACGCTTAACGACAACAGAGGATGAAAAAGTAAAAAGTAAAGTAGGCGTCCTTTTAACCTTGAGAGCGTGAGGCAGATAAACAGTGAGCAAACACCACAGCTAGCAGACAAACTACACAAGGAAATTGATTGCTTTTTAGCAGACAAACCACGAAAGGAAATTGATTGCTTCCTTCATTAGAAGCCATACTGGCATTTTCATAGAACAGTGCTTCCACCAGCTGAAGCTGAAAAGTAAGGAAATTTCAGCTGGGGGCTGCCCAGCAGGGTCCAGGGACAGCGTCCCGATGGGGGTTCAGGGGGCGAGGCCCCCGAAGAAATTGAAATTTTAGAGGGTTGAAAATGGCGTTTGGGAGCCTGTTTGAGTTTGAAGAGATTGCCAAACAACCCATACTACCTATTTTTTCACCAAGATTTTGTGTCGTTTGATTTCTTCACACATATCTTTCCATTGCTGGCAATGTTTAAAAGCAGGTTCCCCTTCCATTGCTACTATAATTCAATTAATTTGTCATCGCACCATAGGTAAAAGGCAAACCTGGGAATAATGAATAGATATGTACCTTCACAATACAGTTACCCAGTGTATACCCTAATTTTCCTCAATTTTCACGTCTGAATGTCGCATGTTACAGCCTCGGAACACCACTTCGGATTATTCTTGATTTTAGTAGTTTTAGCACAAATTTCTTTCATTGCGGCCCTTATCATGTTCCTGTGCCGTAGAATCTTCGCACTGATAAAATTTATTTCTCTAGATCTAGACAGTAAATTTGCGAAAAAGTTTCTTTCTGACAGAATTTTCTAAGATCGCAAGTCAATATACTTGATCAACGTGCAGATTTTCCAGCCGCGGCAACAATCCGAAGATAAACAGACGGGGAATGAGGTAATGATAGAAGGGAGGAAAGTGGCACAAAAAGTTCGCCAGATTTTGATCAATCTGCAGGTAAAAAATGTACTGCCGACCAACCCGCAATGAATGCATGGGGCATAGCGGATTAATGGCCGATGGCAGGAAATGCGCAATCTGGCAGGTTTCTATACCGTAACAAACTATTGCCGAGAGAATTACCGTAAATATCCGTAACTTATACTTTACAAGACGATACGAAGGCGAGTACGGGTCTTTTGCTACGGAATTTCGGTAGTCCTACGCTGTCGCAGATTTTTACGGAGGGAGTTGATAATGATGGAGGAACAAGTACGGAACTGGCAGAAAGTACGGATTTCCATAAAAATACGGAAGTGTGGAAGCACTGATAGAACGATCATTGCATGACATGGAAAGAAAAATGTCTCAGTGAAATATTTATAAAAATCATCGAAATAGAAAAAAAAAAAAAATCCCATCTAAATGGAAACCCTCTTGCACTTGTAAACTTTTTCATAAACTGAGCACAACACAACAACTGGGCATGAGAAACGTCTTTGCAGAATAGAATTCATGAAACCATTGAAACTCATGAGAAACTCAATAAAGTAGGAAAAGATTAAAAGAGACACTGTACTGACGTGAATATATGGTTACCTAAGAACTATTTTTTCCAAAGTGTACTTAAGTTGTTGTTGTTAGCGATCCAACAGCATCTGAGCGTTAACTCTTCTGCGTGATGCCATTCTGTAACAGCTGCATGTCTGTTCTAATTGTTGTCTTGAGGAGTAGAGGCAGTTAGATGTGTGGGGTAGCTTGGGAAGAAAACATCCCCTTAAATCAGTTAGTTTTCTACAGAAGAACAGATGATGTTCCACTGTCTCTGAGGGGTAGTCACATAGTGGGAAGGCAGCAGACTGCTTTACTCCAATTCGGTTGAGATGATGATTGAGGGGCACATGTTGTGTTTTTAAGTTGGAAGACTATTGATTTATCTCCCCTCCTCAACTCATTGATTGGATCTTTGACGAGTGGTTTATTCATGTGGCCATACATCATCCTTCTATGTACTTAAGTTAAGAGGACACTTTGGACAAAATAGTTATGAGGCCACGATAGACTCAAGGTGGAAAGAATTTTTTAAAAAGACCACGTGCTGTACAAGAATTTGAAATCATAACAGAGAGTTTTCACATTACATACGTACCTTCAAGCCCAAAAATGCCACACCTGCCCCTCCAAAGAAAGGCTTGAGCACTTCTATCATGCCTCTCAGACAGACAATGAGGCAGCCTTTCCTGGCAGCCAGTCGGAGCAGAGAGGACGACGCGTTATTTGATGAAGATTCTGCTGCCAAAACATTCCTGAGCTCCCCTGACACCAGGATGAGTTGCAGTTTTCCTCTGTCTAAGATCTGCAGCACTGTCCGCTTCCCAACCTCAAACTGATGGCTGTGCCATGGCGCGGGGAGGAGAAAAAGCATGTCAAGTTACTTTAAGTTTTAGTAAGGTTGTTTTTTTAGCTTTAGTAAAAGTTTAGTTTTAGTAGTTTTAGTAAGGTTCTACGGTGCTCGCAACTGCATAAGGTCATATAAGCGCAAAGTCGTGGATGTCAACAGAGAAGTCTAAACGGGGAATCAGGCTTACTCTGCTCACCTCTCTAACCTCAACAGCACAAAGTCTGCTTCGACTATCAAGGCATCCCGGAAATAGCAGTTCACAAGAGAGTGACAAACATACAAAAGACGATAGATGTTTGATAGGAAAGAAGCAAACCACACCAGAGCACCCGCTAACCACACGCAGTAAGGGTTTTGTACACATATAGGTCGTATAAGCAGTAAGTGCTGAAGATTAGAGGGGTTACTAGAGAGTAAGTAACACAGAAAAGAAGGCAAAACAAAAATGACAGATGTTTAAAAGGATAGAGGGAGTAAACCACATAGGAGCACCTGCCAACCACCCATACCAAACAACTTGAGAGCAGCAATTGTTTGGGGGAAAGAGAAAACATGCTCATACGATAGTGGCATTTCAAGGCTGGTGAAAAACGGAAAAAAAGAAAGAAAGAAAGAAAAGTTCTACTTTTATCAAATTATTTTTTAAGGGAAATCGGGGCATTGGGACATTTTCGGTGTATATATCAATTAATTCAAAGACAAAATGAGCAGAGTACAATCCGCACTATCAAGATACAGTGAAACATATACCTAAATGTGTCAAAGTCAATCATTCCATGACCAAAAATAAGTTATCCTCAAAAACCGCCCTAAAGATTGGAGTACGTGGAAAAAACAATAAGTTGAATGCAACAAATGAAAACGGAATCTAAAAAAATTAATCAGATTTTATGCAAATCAGTTTGGGGTTCCTCAATGGGGGGTGTGTGTGTGGGGGGGAGGGGGGGGGATCAGAGTATGGTACTCAGATTTTATCAAAGTATTTGACAGATCTGCCCATCTAGCGAAACCGCCAAGTTTCACCTCCAATTTCATTGGGTTTGCAGTTATGGTGAAAGAAATGTGTGACTTGCGTGGGAATTATTTAATAAATAATGAAGAGCTATAAACATAAGCTGATGTTTAACTACAAGTTGAGTCGATATTTTCTTTCAAGCTCATGCATATGTAAATAGCATAGTACCCACATTGATCTCAGCTGCTGAAAAATGTCAGCTACAGTAACGTTTACCTGAATGACTTGCAGAAGTTCTCCTTCAGATTCTTTTTCTGTTGTTTCTTCTTTTTCTTCTTCTGCATCTTTTTCTCGTCCTTAACCACTTCTTTTGGTGCATCAGAGAAAGTCCTGAAAAGCCCATTTTTATTAATAAGACACATGTGCTTAAGAACAGCAGAAAAAAAGCACATCTACATCTTTTTCTCTACTTGCGCTTTGCATATAATCATAGTGAAAGAATCTATTGAAATGGCATGACACTGATGTTTGTTTCTACAAATATCATTTTAATGTGAAGCGCCTAGAGCCACCAGGGAGTGGGTGCTAGAGAAGTCTCATCTTTATTATCATTATTATACGGGAGGCCTGCTGACAATATGAGTTACTTCCCGCAGTCCAAGAATGGAGATATCGGCCGAAAATTGATTCTGGGGTCCGACTGATAGATTTTCAATTGATGCCAATTTCTTCAAGTTTGTCATGTCTTTTATTATTCCACAGTTACAAATTGTACAAACTCTACCTACAAAGTTGATGTATCAATTTCCTTAAGACTAAATCCGAGAAGTAACTCATTTTGGTCAGCACATTTCACATATCGTTATATATGCAAAAAGGCAATCAATCTTCTTAGATTCTACATTTTAATAAATACATTTTAACAAATCTAAACTGATGAACATAGTGACAGGCTGTATTATTCGATATAACAACAGCAGCAACCAGTTCCACATCTTAATGACAGGAAGAAGTTCTATGATTCATGTTTAGTTTTAGCAAGGTTTAACTGCGCTCACAACTGCATGAGGTCATATGAGCGCCAAGAGGTGGATGTCAACAGAGGGGGAATCAGGCTTACTCTGCTCACCTCTCTAGCCTCAACAGAACAAAGTACGCTTCGACTATCAAGGCACCCCAGAAATAGCAGTTCACAAGCGAGTGACAAACATGCAAAAGAAGTAGAGGATAAAATGACAATAGTAAGAATGAGAAAAGAAAAAGAAGCAGCCCCCCTATGTTGTTCCGGCACAGTATGAGCATGACATTGATAAATCAGCCCATTTACAATTCTACCGTGCATAAGAACATGTTAATATCCGCCGTTTGGGAATGGCCAAAAGACAACTTCAGTCAGTAGCACTGCCCTGGGGGGGGGGGGGGGGGGGGGGGGGGGTGTTCTATAATTCTAGACAAAAACAAACAACAGCAAGTTTTCTCAGAAAAAAGAGTCCATCAGTCATCAGTGAACATCTGGCAGGCCACAATCACCTGACGAGCATATCCAGGACTTCCTTTTCCTTGTCCTCCTCAAAGCAGAAGGGCCTGAGGAAGAAAAAGATGATTGTCTTACACATTATGACAACCAGAGAGTTCTGTAGGAGTTCGGAAAATGGTAAAACACAAAATACAAGTTGGCTTTGAGCTATGACAAATGTTTTTCACCGATCATCAAAAAACACCCAAAAAACTTACAGTGTGGCTATTTCACCAGACCTGGGGATTTCTACTTTTGGCTCCTAACAGGACAGAGCATGGCGTTCTTTAAGACCGAATCTAGGATGTATAAAAAGATATTCATAAACCCAACTAAATTATATACAGTAGACTTCGTTTAATTAACACAAGAAAATTTCCAATCCCCCTTTTCTTTCTTTCAATTCCATGCATTGCAATGATAAAAATTCCAGCAGACCAAGTTCACATGAAGGAGTTTGGGCCATTTCATCATTCATACCAGCTGAGCCTACGCCGTTCTTTTTTCTTTTAAAAAAAATGTTGCTACTAGTTGCCTACCATCGAGAGGGTGCGGTGGCGGAGCAGTTAGTGCGCTCGTCTCAGAAGCGGAAAGTCCAGGTTCAAGCCTCGGCTCAGACACAATTTTTTCCATCCCCTCCAGCCCACCCCGCAGGAATGGGTACCTGACTTTGAGTTGGGGAAGTAAAGGCTGCGTGGAAAGGAACTGGCCACCCTACCACAATATGCCGAAGGCCCAAGAAGTTGTCTCACTAACAAGGCAATCCCCAATGTCCGGATCGGACACGGGAACAACTTCAGCACTACACACAATACAAATTCAATAGGGTAAGGCCCCCACTGAGTTTCCTTTCCCACACACAGCTGGAGATGACAGGGTAGACTTACTTTATTTGTGCACAAAAAAACCCCAACAAAACAAACCTGTGGCATAGAGCATAAAACGTGTGGCATCGTTGTGGAAACAAGCACTCTTCAAAATAATGAAAATGAAGAAATTGATATTTTTTTCGCTCATTGGGCCATTTTTATCTAATTTTTTGTTTTTGTTTCAAAACATTGAATGTCCAGTTAAAAAACATATTTCTGAGTGCATTTTACTGACAAACGTGAAAGAAAAACAAACAAAATGTAAATGCGCAGTTTCCAAGGACACTCAAGTTTTGGAAGTTGCTAAACTTTGGTGGCCATTTTCTCGCTAATTTTACCTCAAGTACTAGGCTACACACCCCTTCCCCCTCCCCCTCCCTCAATCTCAAATATCTCGACTTCTATTTAAAATGTATGAGAATTTTTTTCAACGAAATCAAAACAAATAAACAAGCTTTAAGATGATACCAACAACAACTCCATATACTGGAAAATGGACGAGCACTTGATTCCACCACGTCATGACGTAAATGATTTACTCACCACAAAGAATTTTCCCCCGGAACTGGTTCCTCTGTAGGTCGGAGTGCACTGGTATGTGAAGGCACGTAACATTCTGTCTTCACCGACGTATTTGCCAGGATCAGTGAAATGACATCTTCAAAGTCACGCTTTGCTCCTTCAACCATTTTCTGGGAAAACAAAAAAAGTTGAAATCATTTTTGGTGTTTTTTGGGTAAGTATTTTACTGCCCTCACAACTGCATAAGGTCAAATGAGCGCCAAGGAGTGGATGTCAACAGAGAAGTCCAAACGGGGAATCTGGCTTACTCTGCCCACCTTTCTAGCCTTTACAGCACAAAGTCTGCTTCGACTATCAAGGCACCCCAGAAATAGCGGGTCACAAGAGAGTGACAAACATGCAAAAGAAGTAGAGGATAAATGACAATAGTAAGAATGAGAAAACAAAAAGCAGCAGTTCCCCCCTATGTTGTTCCGGCACAGTATGAGCATGGCATTGATAAATCAGCCCATTTACAATTCTACCGTGCATAAAAACATGTTAATATCCCCCCCCTTTGGGAATGGCCTACAGACAACTTCAGCGAGTAGCACTGCCCTGGGATGGGGGGGGGGGGGGGGGGGGGGGGGGAATCAGACCCTGAGATAGAGGAAAAAGACAGTATTGTATTAACCCAACATCCCTTTCGTCACTTGAAAGGTATGGTGGACATTCCCTCAATTCAACTTCCATCTCCACGGAAACATATTTCAGGAAAGCTGAATACATTCAGAACTCACCCAGATTCAAAACCCTGAATTTCCTTGAAATGACTGAGTTCATTGCCAACCATATAGAAGAACCAGCAGTTGACTACCTCTGACATTTAGAGGGGAACGCAAAGAAGGAGGAGAACAGATAACTATACAATGTGATGACTAAACAGGGTTCCTGCCATGAACTCCCCACCAAACTCAAGGAGATTTTACGGAGAAATTTTTAAAATTCAAGGAGATTTAGTCAAGAAATTCATGCCGCTTTCGACGGCGTGCCAAGAGCAATCCAACAAAAATTTTGTTCATGTCCGAAATTCATGGAGTTTTCAAGGAGGTTCCTCAAATTCAACGAGTTTTCAAGGAGCTTATTCCTTGAATGCAAATTCAAAGAGTTTACAAGAACTCCTTAAACTCAAGGAGGCCGCATGAACCCTGTAAAGAATTCAACACAGATTGATTTCCTTAAGATGTGTGGGCACCTTAAATCCGATGGCCAAGGGACAGCACTTTGAGTCTGTTGAGTCAGCAACCGCAGGTGCCAGCCGATCGATACACAGAAGGGGGCAGCCTTTCTCCTCAGCCAGGGAGATGACGTGAGTGGCGATGATCGCCGGAGTGGCCATGCCGGAGACCAGGACACACTCCAGGCTGTTCCGCTCAAGTCCCCGAAACACGCTGTTCACACCAATCATAAGCTGAGACCTGAAATTAGAGAGTTCGATGTTGTTGTACTTCGTGAAAATTTATGTTGGACAAGGCATAAGAAAAAAAGCGGAAGCACTTCCATAGCGAGTGACCACCCCAACAAACACAATAAAGAAGAGACCTAACCCTAACCCTACCCCTACCTCTCTATTCTACTGACAATGACAATGACAAAGACAATCTTTATTCATCTCGCAGGGAGAAATTTGTCTTGGTCGTTAACGATGACAGTAGACGTTACAAAAGTTAGCCTTAAAGGTGCACTCACACAAACGCACAACAAGACAGGACATTAGGCCAAGTAAATACATGTCTCACGGGCTGGGACAACCCGCTCCGTAAATCTCTCTCTCTCCCTCTCTCTCTCTCTGTTTTATTTGTAGCACTGTGTGTTCAGTAACCTCACTGCAGTTGGTACGAATGAATTTCTATATCTGTCTGTTCTTGCTTTTTTGGAAATGTATCGTTTACTGCGGGTTGATAGTTGAAATTCCGATGTCAGTGGGTGGCTATGGTCACTAAGCATTATTTCCGCCTTTTTTAGAACGTTTGTCTTGAGCAGATATTCAAAGTTACTTAGGTCTCTACCAATTGTTCTTGAAGCCTTTTTTATCAACTTATTTAGTTTTATAATGTGCTGCCTTCTCAGATTGCTACCATAGCAAGTGATTCCAAAATTTATCAAAGTTTCTATTGTGGTGGTGTAGAAAATCTGAAGGATGGATGGATTCAGATTGAAAGACTTTAGTTTCCTCAGAAGGTACAGCCTCTGATTTACCTTTTTAAGGTAATATTGTTTACGTGGTTTTGCCATGTAAATTTGTTGTCTATTGTAAGGCCAAGATATTTGTATGAATCCGTGATTTCAATAGTTTCTTGTTCAATTACGAGTGGTGGGATTGTTGGTTTTTCTCTTCTAAAATCAAAAATCATTTCCTTTGTTTTTGAGAGGTTCACTTTTAGAAAATTTGAGTTGCACCATTTAAAAAACCTACATATTTCTTCGAAATACTCTTTTTCATCAAGGTTTATTAATCCAATAATAGCAGAGTCATCTGCAAACTTAATTAAGCGTGTTGTTTAATATATACTTCTATGATCGTTGGTATATATAGTATACAAAACTGGTGACAAAACACACCCCTGAGGACCGCCGGTGTTACAAAGAATTGTGTAACTCTGTCATAGTGGTCGCTCGTTACAGAAGTCCTCCCAAAAAAACAATAATCCAAGTAACTGATGGATGGATAGATAAGTAAATATTTTTCTAGTTTATCCAACACTGCTGTTGAAACAGTTGGATCACTTTAGAGCCATGATTTTTTTTTAATGGCTTCTCAGCATCGGATGAAGTTAATAGCAATCTAAATTTGATTAATCTGTTAGTAAAGTCTTAATCTTTATGAAAATATCTTGAAAATGTTCAGTGGAAGGTAAAATTTTTTAAAGTGTAAAGTAAGAGTATGGAGAAGAATCACAGAAATCGATGTACAGAAAAGTGGGAAGACATGGAATAACATCAAGAGGCTAGCCTAGGATAGAGAAAAGTGGGGGGTGTCTGTCCGTGGCCTATACCCTGATGCAGGGTGAGAAAGGCAATGATGATGATGAAAGTAAGAGTAGAAAATTATATATATAATTATATTCTCTAACCAGCTTTGTTTGGATAATTCCTTAAATCTTTCAAAGAGAGAATATGACGCAGATGACTCTACAACATAGGACATTAACAGAAGTTGACATCAAATTTCATTAACATAAGGAACCGCTACCTCATATTAGCCTTTTTTTCTGTGTCATCTTGCGTATGATCTTTTTTCTTTGCCTTAAGGAGGCTCGGTACTTCCTTTAGACATCTGAAAAAGACAGGTTAAATTTAATTAATATAAATGTCAGTCGCCAGCAAAAAGTCTGTAACACTTTGCCATCATATTTTGGGGAAAATCCAAAGAAACTGGGTGGTAAACATCATCAATGGACGAGATGAGGCGGCAAAGTGTTAAATCCATGGAGAAACCATATTTCATCTACTGCTATCAGAATGGTCACCTACCCGTCTCTCATTTCATTCCCTTCAGAGCACATTCAACAGAACATTCAAGTGAATGCCTTTTTCGTTTTAGTATTCAGAAACAAAACCACTTGAGAGGTTCGGATACGAAAATTCAGCTACAAAAAAAACCCCAATGAAAACAATTCCACAAAAGGAAAAAAATGCAAAATAGTGAATGAAACCAGTTTTTTGATCTCCAACCAATTCAGGAGCCATCAATAAAATACTATTTCAGTTCAATAACCAATTTACCATGACAAAGAATTTACAATTTAAAAGTGTAGTAAATACTATCTATTATCATTATCATACAAAATTACTTAAGTTTTATGCAAACAATTGCATAAACTCTCCGTCACCCACTCTGTCAGCTTGGACAAGATCTCATCCTCCACCTCCGAGCTCGGTCTGGGCCTGGAAATAGAAAATGAGAGATGTTCTGTTGTGACTGTAGACACAAGTTTCTTCATTATCACATCTAAATGAGCCTATCATTCATGCATTAGAAAGCACACTCCCAACACACAGAAAATGACTTTGAACATATATTCAGGAAACATATGCCAGTTCCACTATTGTTTACTTTGTTTTGCATTATTGGCTTTTATGTGTAAACCAATATTTTGAGGCCTTTTCTGCATTGTTGTGTTTTTGGCAGCATGTACAATAGGCCTATGTATTTTATGTGCAACCGACACATTCTCCAATCTCTTGTATTTGTTAGACTCGCACGTGCTTTAAACAAAGCATGTTGTTGTACACACTACTGATGCAAACACAGAGATGAATTCTTAAAGTGAGAAATAATACATTTCCTCAATATAAGCTCAATTTATTTATCTCTTTCTAGTAAATTGGAGAAAAGGCTTATATTGTTCTTTTTTGCTTGCTCTGGATGGCCTTAAGTTTAATGACAATATTATTGTAGTGAGCATGTTACTGCCAGCGTCCCCTTATCGTAGATCTAGTACTAATCAAGACTATATCTAGATATTTTGCCAACAGAATTAATGTTCATAATTAGTGTTATTATCAAGTGTATTGTGATTGTGAAGATCTTTAGTAGATCTAGAGATCTAGATCTAGATCTAGATCCCATCCCATCATTAAAAAAAACAACAAACCAACAATACAAATACAAAAACATTGTAACATTGCCAATTATGACATATTGTTGGCAATAAAAATGTACTAGACTATTTCACTATATTTACTCTTCGAAGAAAGTTTTAAAATACTAATGTAAGGTGTCTTCCAAGCCCTACCACTAGCATCAGCGTGCATAGCAACGCGAAGCCTCGCTGTGCGGCGCAGCCAAAGGTGCCCTCAACTGGCCGCCATGTTTTAGTTTCAATTCCTCACAGCGAATCGGCGATCGCGAAGAGGGAGTTCCGCTTCTATAAGTGAGGAATTCTGTGCCACTGATATTACCAGAACAAGAAATCAAGGCACCCAGTACCTACTGCAACAGAGCAGCAAATCAAACCCAATGCAGCCACCAATTGATGTCACACCATCTGACTACCCATTCCAGAAAATATGCAGCGACTACTTTTCGTACAACAACACGGATTATGTTGTCATTGTCGACAGATATTCATCTTGGCCGATGGTGTTCAGATCAGAATCAGGTGCTGAGGGCTTGATTAAACGTTTACGCGAGACATTTAGACACTTCCATCTTTGGTGCCATGCGGTTGGCTATAGGTTAGATGTAGTCACGTGATTGGAGGGGTATCCTCTAAAAATAGTTTGCGTCTTTCTACATTTAATCGCATGTCAAAGTGTAGGTCTAGGCCTACATTCTAAAAGAATGACACAGTGATAGCCAACGCCGAGCTGCCAACATCGCTAACGCTAGCGAAAGAAATCTGATTCAATTTTTGATCTAGAAGATCTAATCTAGATTTAGATTGAAAAAACAACGCATTAAATGGCCCATGTGGGCCAATAAGCCCCAGCTTATTTGCCCATGTGGGCCAATAAGAGCAGCCATTTAATTTAGTCACGGCTGTTCCACTCAGGATCAGGCTAGTTGCCGGCCGACCTGACCTCCGAGACGAGGTCACGCCTTGGTTACGCTGCCCGCGGGCGCTCGGCCTCGCGGTTAGCGGCTCACCCGCGATGTTCTGTTTTGTACACATAAAACAACACTAGTTCTTATGAAAGCCGAGAAAGTCAATGAAACAATAACTAAATGATCACATGAAGACGAAGGTGTAGTTTACGACAGTATAACTTTTATCACGGAGAAGTTAAAGAAAGTGTAGTTTAAAAGAGGGGGGAATGTGGCTTTCATCATAGATTGGTTATTACAAACAAACATGGTTTTTTTTAAATAGTTAAAAATAAACGGACCGACAGATTTTTACAGTCTTTATTGTCAGCTCACAGTCAGACTTTGAACTTTCAAACACACGTTTATGAGGTTCGGCCAAAACGTCTTGTTGCTATTGTTGATTAATGCACTCAGTCTTGTCAATGAGTGGGAAAACAGTTGAGTCCAGCCAACGCATGAGTACTATTTCACATGAGATTGAAGGCCGTTCTTTACACCTTCACAGCTGAATTGATGTTACTATAGTAAATAATTTGATAAACATACTACTATAAAACTATTTAGGAACTATGGTTTTATCCGTGAATAGTCTGAATCGTCTAAATCGTCTTGTTTACTTTTTAATGCGTTTTTCCAATGGCTCATGGAGTGTGGCCTTCAAATCTGAAGATGTCTGTAGTCGGTGTGCTTCCAACACAGCTTTAAGTTGTTTTTGCTTGTTTTTTATGCCTACTGTTCTCTTTTCTACTCTGGCGATTGTGGCATGGAGCATCCCCCCAGCATACCAAGGCCAAAGCCCCAGGCTTTCATAAATGGCAGGAAATGCGCTCTAGCATGTGTATTTTTGGTGTCACTGTGTGAGGAAATAACTTGCGGAATAGTTTTAGATATGAATCGATGTCTGCGCTAATGGAAATGTGTTCTGACGGGGGTACAGAAGAAGCATCTGGGGTGGGGGTATCCGTTATAATGATCGCGAGGGACGGAGAAGGCAACTCGTGTCCTTCCGTAAGCAAAGGAATACGCTCTTTAATGCACCCTTTGCTAAGTTTAACACAGCGAGCACACACAGAGCACTCGTTAATCTGTCCCCTTAGAATTATGCAAATTTAGAAGGCCAAATTATGCACAAAAAAAGCAAAATTATGCAAGTTACCGTAACACCATTCGCGACATGTTTTGCACTTTTTCAACACAAAGTTTCATGATATTCATGTTTTATGTACAGGAAAATTGAAAACAGAACATATCAGTATCAGTAATTTGTTGTGTATTTGGAAAAGAAAACAATACACATCAGTAAAAAAAAAAAAATTTTAAAATAATAATAATAATAATCTCTGTAACTTTCAGCTGTAGATCTAGATCTAGATCTATCTAGAGGGAAGAAAAATGTTTAAAAAAAAAAAAAAAAGGACCTCTGGACCTCTGATGCTGGCACATTACTAAAACCAGGGACACCTGTCAAACATGAAACATCAGCAGACATGAGAACAACAACTTTTGATGGATTGAAAAATTGAACATGCTCAAGAAACAAAATCACAACCCATAACCAAGATCTTCTAACAAGGGAAATAACCAGCTTTTCATTTAAATGAGACTTATTACGGTGATTACGTCCCTTTAGTCACATGGCGAGACGTTAATTAACTGTTTTGTGAAAAAAAAAAAAAGGGAAAAAACGTGAAAAAATGCGGATAATCCAAAATTATGCAAATGTTGCAGAATTAATCGAAAAAACGCGGCCGCGCCGCGGCCGCACAATCGCATAATCCTACGGGGACAGGTTAATGCTTATGCTTGCGTCGTAAGCGGACCAAACATAGGCACTGTCTTCTACACATTTCTGTGCGGCCTTCAAAGTCGCATTTGTAATTTGCTTCCGTAGTGCGTATATTCACGAGCCACATTTCCTGCACAGAGTATTGGAATGCTTGTCGGCTGTGTCGTTGTCAATGTTGAGTCTATAATATTGCAATAAGTCAGACTTAAAGTTTTTACAAAAAAATTGACGCTGCTTAGAAACTTTAGTTTTTAAACTTCTTCCACCACAAGTACGACACAACTTGTTTACATTCTCAAAGTGGATGTTATAAGAGTGTTCCATCTTTGATGTTAAAAGGCTCTATAATTATAAACACACAAGAAAGTAAGACGGCAAGTTCCCACTTCACATGGTCTTTCTTTGTACCGAGCGTTGCACTAGACTAGTCACATAAAGTGCGCTAGTTCATGGAAATTTAGCTCGTACCCTGAGATTTTTCACCACAATGGAGAGAATAGATTTTTAAAAAGAAATATGAAGGTTAAAACAAAAATTGTCGGTTTGAATTATTAAAATCCGCTTTTAAATCCCCCAAATTCAATAACACAGAGCTGTACAACAGTGGTAGTATACATTAGGTATCCCAAGGGAATATTAAACAGGTTTCAAACTGCGGGTTATAGAGGAGATGCTGAGCTTTTATTTGGTATATAACACTCCTAGGTTTACGGGATGGAGAAAGTAAAGGCAGGGAGTACTATGCTGTAAATTCCAGTTAATTTCTTGAAATTGTTACTTGTACCCTTTCTGCGTAGAGCAGTCAGATCTAGAAATCTAGGGATAGGCCGGTGGAAGTGACGTAACGCGCCGAGATTCATTAACTTCCGCGAGGGGTCACAGGGGTCAGACGGGCTACAACTAAGTGCGCCTCTCGGAGGGTGAAACTGAACAGCCGTGAGTGGTCATGATGAACAAAGCCATCCTCGCCCGGAGGAGATAACAAAAAGAGATAAACAGAACACCAAATTCATAGATTAGGCCTACTTTATTATTTCCTTTGAATTTATTACTGGATCCTTTACAACGAAAATCCTGCTGTAACAGACATTTCGTACCGGTCCCCTCCCTCTCGTTATAACAGGATTCCACTGACGTCGCTGACATCGACGTCTAGTCCTAGTCTAGTACATGCCGTTAAACGTAGAAAAGACGCATCTTTCTAATTGGCTGCTAATTTTAGTAATGTGATGTCATCACTTCCTGGGATACCCACATGGAACGACGTGTTTTCGGTAACATTTCGGATTTCCTAGATCTAGATCAGATCTAGATTCTAGATCTAGTAGGCCTACTTGGACATGATGGAAGACTGCACGAAAATTGCCATAAAGACGCAGGAGGACTAGATTTCTAGATCTAGAAATCTAAATTTAGATCTACCACCCCCCACCCCCTCTCCTGCATTTTTAATCACTAATACATTTTTTAAAAAAAACAAAAACAACTTCAAAGTAACTGTACAAATTAGGCCTATAATTTATGGAACTGTTGGTCAGTTGGGAGGAGGAAAAGAGACCCCAAAAAACCGAAGTGACTATGTCTCCGAACATTCAGAGAAATAGTGCTGATCTTTATTTCTCCGAACGGTTTCCGGCTTCCGGTCTCGTGATTTTTGGCCTATATTTATTGCGAGAGTTCGGCGCCAACTTTCATTCTGCCTCTGGTCTGGGAAGGAACATTGCATGGCAAGCCCGCCTACAGACAACCTTCTGTAACACCCACCACACACCCACCACCATCATGCACATGTACACACACAAACTTATACACACACTGCTAAACATGATCAGTGGGCAACTTTTGAACGTATGACGAGCTGAGCTGTGGATGGAGAGACAGTGTGAGTGACAGAGCAGGTGAAAGGAAGAATGTACGAGTGTATCCACAGGCGACAGCAACTACAAGGCGACGTCACCGACTCCCCTGGCCTGGTCCACAGCTCACGAACGAAAGGAATGCGGCTAAGGCAGTGTTTTGCTAATATTATTGTCCATGGTTTGCAGGGTGCAAGGGAATGAGTGAGATTTTCTTTGTGTGTGCCTGGAGGGAGGGGGTGGGGTGTGAAAGTCATGCAGACGGGGATGAACCGCGGGAGAGAACACGGGAATTGAATGAATGAGTGAAACTGAAAGAGAGGAACGACTCATGAGCCCTGGAGTGAATGGATCCTGTGTTTCTATTTTTGTATACTTTGAACTATTACTGAATAAAGGCTGAAATAAAGCCCGAAAAACAAACACACACACACTCCTCACTCTCCACTTACACACTTACTACCACACACAGACACACTCACAAACGCACATGCACACACACACACACACACTGGAGCAAATTTTTAGGTATATATATAATATATATCTCTATTTCAATTTTCAAGAGCTAGTCTAGAGATTTTTAGATGAGTGTAAAAACTTGAAAAAGAAAGGTTTCACAACCGAAAGAAATCAAAATTAGAACAGCCCATAAACAACCACAAAAATTAACAAATAAGGGAGTGAGTCCACCTGTCTGAAGAAGATTGGCTGTTTTAATCCTAAATGTGCGTAATTTTAATACAAAGTACAGGATATTACATGTAGATTATGGAATCACACACATGTCAGTACATGTAATCGGTTTTTGTGGAACGTACGCTCTAACATAACACATTTAAATCTATATATATACATGTATATATATATTTAGAATCTAATGAAGGTAGGAACATCAAAATAAATTACGTTACACTATACAACATCCCCCCCCCTTTTTTTCCCAACAAAAAACTTGATAGAAAAACAACACATCAGAACAATAACAAGAAAGAAAAAAATACACACTAACAAAATTAAACACACAAAAGGGAAAAATAAAAGTAGCTGCATGTAACGTATTCAACAAATCAACGTGGTGACAACAAGTGATAAAGAGACGAAGTGAAGCTAGGTGAACTTTCTTTCAAAAGTAAAGAGGTTCGGTTTCTTTCTTTTTTTATTTATTTTTTTATTTGACTTTTATTCCCCGATTCGGGAACCAAAAAATGCCAAAAAAATCGAGCCACGATTGATTGGTCGCGGCCGCGACAAACGCAGATGCTAGTTCTATGTGTCATTATCAACAATAACCCTTCGTAGATCTAGATCTAGACAGCACACGAGTAAAGTGAACACAACATATTAAGTTTAAGAGCAGCAGCCTTCATAGGCAACACGTCATATCTCTCTAGCGAAAAACTGTTTGGAACTGTAGCATTTCTTTACAAATATTTACTGCGGACATTTTTGGACCGATTTAACCATATTGTATACAAACAATCTTTGGTAGGCCTATACTATAATTATAGATCTATATAATATCCTAAATTTGCGGGAAAGGATGTGATTTCAGAGTGTTCGGAGAAATAGTGCCCAGCTTTATTTTCCTGAACGTTCGGAGAAATAGTGCCTAGCTTTATTTTCCCGAACGTTCGAAGAAATAGTGCCGGCCCAAAAAAAAACTGTCCGGGACCGGAATCGAACCGCTCCAAAAGTAAAAGTCATTGCACAACCTCAAACACAGACGTGCTATCAAATCAGCCATCAGAACTTCCGAGAGAAAGGCAGGTGTAGATTAAGCATAGACACTTCCATCTTTGGTGCCATGCGGTTGTCTATACTTAGATGTAGTCACGTGATTGGAGGGGTATCCTGGTCTGACGTCAAACAAGATGGGCGCCTTACCTAAAAATAGTTTGCGTCTTTTCTACTTTTAATCGCATGTTAGTCGGCGATTGTTAAGATTCCCGCGTTTAATTCCGATATGCGTTTTTCAGGGGGCCACCTCTATTCTCACCCGGGGTGAGAATAGTGCAGGCGAGTCTTTTGGCTATTCTCACCCGGTGCGCCTTCACCGTTATAGCCTAGATCTAGGCCAACAAATTTTGCGTTCACCCTAAACCACAGAATTCTACACTGTGATAACAGAAAAATTGTAGAATTCTGTGCTGTGAACAAACGTTCCATTACAACTGTAGCCTACTAAAAGCGTAATTTTGTCTGTGGGCAGTGGCAGTGGTGAGAGAGAGAGAGAAAAAGAGAGAGAGAGGAGTAGCGCGAGAACTTCCGGGCAAACAAAATGGCGACCCGCATAGTTCGGCTCGATTCAAAAAGTTAAACAGCCGTAGCATCTTTGTAGACAACCAAATTAATTTACTTAAATTTTGTGTTTTAACATCATTTTTTAACTTTGTTTTGGTCAATTTGATCGTCCACACCGATAGACAGTATTCAGAAAGAGACAGAGAGAGAGAGAAGAGGGGAGGAGTAGATCTTGCGAGAACTTCCGGGCGGGTGAGAATAGCCACTTCCTTTTCAGGGTTAGGGTTAGGGTAACTTAAGGCCACCACTATTCTCACCCGGGGTGACAATAGTGCAGGCGAGTCTTTTGGCTATTCTCACCCGGTGCGCGTTCACTGTTATAGTTATAGTTATAGCCTAGATCTAGGCCAACAAATTTTGCGTTCACCCTAAACCACAGAACTCTACACTGTGATAACAGAAAAATTGTTGTAGAATTCTGTGCCGTGAACAAACGTTCCATTACAATTGTAGCCTACTAAAAGCGTACAATTTTGTCTGTGGGCAGTGGAGAGAGAGAGAGAAAGAGAGAGAGGAGTAGCGCGAGAATTTCCGGGCAAAACAAAATGGCGACCCGCGTAGTTCGGCTCGATTCGAAAAGTTAAATAGCCGTAGCATCTTTGTAGACAACCAAATTTATTTACTTTTGTGTTTTAACATCATTTTTTAACTTTGTTTTGGTCAATTTGATCGTCCACACCGATAGACAGTATTCAGAAAGAGACAGAGAGAGAGAGAAGAGGGGAGGAGTAGATCTTGCGAGAACTTCCGGGCGGGTGAGAATAGCCACTTCCTTTTCAGGGTTAGGGTTAGGGTAACTTAAGGCCACCACTATTCTCACCCGGGGTGACAATAGTGCAGGCGAGTCTTTTGGCTATTCTCACCCGGTGCGCGTTCACTGTTATAGTTATAGTTATAGCCTAGATCTAGGCCAACAAATTTTGCGTTCACCCTAAACCACAGAACTCTACACTGTGATAACAGAAAAATTGTTGTAGAATTCTGTGCCGTGAACAAACGTTCCATTACAATTGTAGCCTACTAAAAGCGTACAATTTTGTCTGTGGGCAGTGGAGAGAGAGAGAGAAAGAGAGAGAGGAGTAGCGCGAGAATTTCCGGGCAAAACAAAATGGCGACCCGCGTAGTTCGGCTCGATTCGAAAAGTTAAATAGCCGTAGCATCTTTGTAGACAACCAAATTTATTTACTTTTGTGTTTTAACATCATTTTTTAACTTTGTTTTGGTCAATTTGATCGTCCACACCGATAGACAGTATTCAGAAAGAGACGGAGAGAGAGAGAAGTGAGGGGAGGAGTTGATCTTGCGAGAACTTCCGGGCGGGTGAGAATAGCCACTTTCGTAAACCAGTACAGAAGAGTAAAAATGAAACTATTTACCACTCATGGAGCTCTGGGCACAACAAGTTTTTCGATTTTGCACCTTTCTTCGACTTTTCTCTTTTAGATAGGTTTGTCAAAGTGGCAGCTCTCCTCGATACGGCTATTGTGGGGGCAGCCATCTTTGTTTTTAACCACGCGTCTTTTGTACCCTTTCGACCTAAAAGATCTAGGCCTAGGGCAAGGAGTTTAGAACTAATGGAGCCTCCTCTCTCTCTCTCTTCGCGCCGCCACGAGCAGTACGCCGCGTTGGGGACTTGGGGATCAAATATGGCCGCCGAGTGTGGGCTAAATCTCGAACTGTGGCGGTTCTTTTTATAGAATCTTATCGGGCTGGGCCACGTTGTGGGGGTGGGCGGGGTGGGGGAATGCACGAAAGGAAGAGGGGATGGAGCAGGGATGAAAGAGGAGGGGCGGGCCTTGGGAAGGGACGAAGGAGAATGGGGAAAATTAAATAAAAGAGAGAAAGAGAGATAGAGAGAAAGAGAGAGAGAAAAAGAGAGAGTGAGAGAGACAGACAGACAGACAGACAGACAGACAGACAGACAGACAGACAGACAGACAGAAGAGAAAGAGAGAGAGATTGAGAGAGAGAGAGAGAGAGGGGGGGGGGGGAGAGAGAGAGAGAGAGAGGGGGAGAGAGAGAGAGAGATTGTGATCAACTGACGGGCTGACGGATAATGACAGGGAGAAAAAAAAAAGATTCTGTGTGTGATACGGACTATTCAATTCTTTAAGAGTTTTATGCTATAATCTAGTTTAAAAATCAGAAAGAAGTGTAAAATAAGAAGAGAACTTGTCCAAGTAACATAAAATTATCAAACATACCAAATTATAAAGATAATCTTTCAAGATGCCAAAATATTTAATTATTAGAAATGGATAAAAATATACTTTAAAACTGAATTTAAGATATTATGATTGCATGATTCTAGGCGTGTGCCATAACTAACTTTATGTGTAATATGGGGTGCCCACTACGGATGGGATCGGCCGATCAGACCGATCGCCCGACTCGATCGCCTCAAAAACAAACGTGTTTGTTTTCAGTTTCAGGCGATCGAGTCGGGCGATCGCCCTCGATCGGCCGATCCCGTCCGTAGTGGGCACCCCGTATAAGGAATAGCGAACACAACAGAGGGTCGATGCCAGCTTTATCTGATTGCTAACAGTACGTCTTGGTCTATAAATAATAATATTATTGATTACAATAATTTTGTTTCCTGGTTTTCACAAAGTAGAGCGCACAATGATTTCAATTTTTTTTTAAAAAGAGATAACAGCACCTTTGGAGGTGTGATCGCATGCATGAGCGTGGATGACCTTTGAAGGTTTTCTTTTTTGTTTTGTTCAGTAAAGTATGATATGGAGAGTAACGTTTTTAGTCCCTTATTACACTCCGGGGGGGGGGGGGGGGGATAATTTATCTCAGTGATGACTCTTGTGTATTAAAATTTGATGTTGCTTTGTTTGGTTTATTTTTTAACAGCAGAATCTTAAGTGAACCGGAATTATTGATTGTGGGATCTTAGGTGAAGACTACAACAATAGAATTAAACCGAGTATAGTTCTATCTAACAAGACTCAAACTCTTATCCACCCCACCCAACCCTCTCCCCTCATCTGATATGGTTTGGTGTTTCTTTAACATAGAAAATATTCATCATTATTGTTGTTGAGTATTGATTTCATATTCTAATGGAGCCTCCAGATATCTACATTTAGACAACAGTAGCATCTAATTTGCACACACAATGGAAAACAATATAAATGTATAATATGTATATACATACACACACATAATAATTATATATATATATATATATATATATATATATATATATATATATATATATATATATATATATATATATATATATATATATATATATAAATAATTAAAAAATTGAGTATATCTCGGTCTTTCTGCTGGGGTGTTGTATCCCTTTCAGCCTGGGTTGGCCTTGGCAGGTAGCGCCGGAGCCAGCCTCTTATGAATGTTAATGATCTAAATTGTGTTGCTGGGGGCATAAAAACACTTTCATTCAAATTTTGTAAAAGGAAAACAACTTAACTGTGAAAACTTCGGTCCACTGCAGCATCGTATCGGTTCTTACACTTAAATACAACACAGATGCAAGGCATTTTTACTAATTGACTTGCCTAATCTCAATGACCTCGGAACAAGGAGATTAAAAGTAATGGAGGATGCTCTGTAGGCGGCACCGCACGCCTGATAGGAGCCCTCTCTCGCGGCGGAACTGTGGTCTACCTGCGCTGCGCGAATCCCCCACTCACGCACTGAAATCTAGATAAGAAAGAAGGTTTTATTCCGAGGCAAGGAGTTTAGAACTAATGGAGCCTCCTCTCTCTCTTCGCGGCGCCACGAGCAGTACGCCGCGGTGGGGATCAATATATGGCCGCCGAGTGTGGGCTAAATCTCGAACTGTGGCGGTTCTTTTTATAGAATCTTATCGGGCTGGGCCACGTTGTGGAGGTGGGCGGGGTGGGGGAATGCACGCAAGGAAGAGGGGATGGGGCAGGGATGAAAGAGGAGGAGGCGGGCCTTGGGGAGGGACGAAGGAGAATG